AACGTTGGTCGCTTTTGTTGACAGACCAATTTTGGTCGCCAAATTTTGGTCGTTTTTTTCGGATTTCTAGTAGTGGTTCTTTCTCTCTTCCTATTTATAAGGGGTATTTCCAAGAAACCCTAAAAAGTACAAAATAAGAAATATCTAAAGGAATATTCCTTATGCCTATTTCTAATCTATCTTTCCGTTATCTCTTTATTCCAGCTACTCGTCCCTGACAATAACCTTCCAGAGGACGGCCTCCCATTATTGTGCCGTGGTCGACCTCGTCCTCGATCTTGTTTATCTGCTGTTACGAGGTCACCAAATTTAGACCATACAGATATCATCAAACTAATGGTTATATTAAAGCCAAATCTATATTATATTAAAAGCATGAAGGCCCTTAGCAAAATGTCGTTCGCCTTTTTTACCCTTTAAAAATAGATATCACATGGGATAAAAGTGTAATTAACCATTTTCCTAATATATAAAACTTCAAAATGAGCTGAAATTTTGGTTATGAAATCTTTCCTTATTTGAAAAGTCTTATCAATATTTAGAAATATAAAATCAATTATTTTACCATATAAAATTTTTCCTTATTTGGATAATAAGAAATATATACACCTTTTACCATTTTAAACAAAAAAAAATAAATTTTAAAAAGGGAAAAAGAAGACTAAAGTACGTTCATAAATCATAATACACTTCATTTAATATAACTTTATCGTCTTTTATATTCTTAAAACATTCTTCATCACAAATGTATCTTAGTCCAATCAGAATTACTTTTGCCTAGAATAATTAAAAAAAACTCATGATATACGTAGGATTTTCGCACATAAGGTGTGATATTATTAAGTGGTTTAATCTACAACAATGTTGATTATTAATCTCTCAGTATAAGTATTTAAGTTTTACTAGTATCTATGAACGTGCGCTGCACGTTAATAATGATATGTGATGATTTAAATATTTATTTATATGAAGGAACAATAAAATTTAATTAATGAGAGAAATTTTATGTATAATAATACAACAATCATCTAAATGCCGAAAAATATTACATTAGCATAATACATGAATTTAAAATAAAAGCACATCATCAAAACTAACAGAAACGATCAATCTTGTCATGTTAGTTAGATAATTATATATTATAGTTTAAAAGCATTTAGTATGATGGTATCTTAACGAACACTTCTTTGTGGACAATATTTTTTTTTGTATGTTTCCTCTTAATGCGTTGGTTGCTCTGCCTTAACCAGAACTCTTGTTGTCGATCTTGATATCCCTCTTGAAAGTGCAACATACAGTTGTACGTGCAAGAAAACATATTACGGTAAATATAGTCCAATATTTAAGATGTTTGTCCTTATGCTTTATTTATTAGTGCAAAACATAAACATACTAAAAATTATTTACACACAAATTTAAATGGATATTCCTTAGTTTCGGAAGACGAAAGTTAAATTCATGGATAAGAATATACTTAGAAGCACACTAACCAGTATCATAATTATTGCATCTATTACGTTATTGTCAAAAATTTTATATACCATGTGTGCTATTACATAAGCTATTCGGCGTATCTAAGTTTTTCAGTAGCATGACGGGCATATTTTTTCTTCAAAATTAACCTATATACAATGGAAGATCAATTTTAACTTAGTATATTATATATACGGTGACACTAACATACGTAAGAAATAAGAAACTTGACAACAAACATATATGGTAGAAGACCATTTGGTATTAAAGTATTTAAGTATTCTTCTTGGTAGTAATTATTGGTATCATTTTCTGCTGAGTCAAATACTGAAAAATATTTTATTTTTACTATAAAATTTTGCAACCAACCTTTTATTTAGTTGATCAACATATTCGTTTCTGCTAGCTAATATATCTTTTTAATTCTATCATGCGATTTGCACAAAATCTAATGACAGAAATATTTCTCTTATTAAATGCACTACTATTACCATTGGGATTGATAACCAAGTATTCATGAAGAACCAAATAATATTTTATTGGATGCTTTTCTTCGTTTCTGACACGAAGCAAGAATATTAGATATGTTCTTACTTTATATTTCTTGTCAGTTGAATCTTTTTCGTTTGAGGCCAGAAGTATAACTTTGGCAAGCTAGCTTTTACGGTCTCAGCTTTTATCGATTTTGGAACTCCTGGTACTACTTGACAGAAATCACCTCCCAAACCATTATTTTTTCACCAAACGCTTCATTAATATCCAATATATCTCTAGAACTCCGAGCAATTATTTCGATCATTTGACACTTAGCCATAAGTGATTCATCCCATATTATAAATTATAAGTGCTTTCCTTATTAATTTAGCATCATTGCTCTAATTTGATATATTTGTGATGGTTATTTTAGTTGTTTGAAGAGGCATATCAAATCTAAAGTGGGTGACCTCACGATAAAATCGTTGTTGGTAAACCACTTGCTATTATTGCTAACAGTGTCATGCTTCTTGATATGATATTTGCAAGTAATTCAGGACATTGAAATATTATTTCGATTCCACCGGAGGCATCTACAAAGAATAATCCCGTTATACCAGAGTCGACTCTTTATAATATAGTCTTGAAAGCTTGTTCTTGTTTAGGATTTTAGCTTTGATTGTGCTTCCTCAGACACTTGTTTAGCATTTTGATTCTTAGTAATATACTAACCTTTTACTTTGTGTTTTAACGCTCTTTTTATGGAATAATTATTATACCCTAAGATTTTTTTAACTTGAAATAAGAATTTTACTCATATGATGAACTAAGAAATAGTTGGACTGGATTCTTTTTCTAAATAAATAATTAAAAATTTAATTATTTGGTTTTAACATAAAAATAATTAATTCTATGTTGATTCAGATCTTAATATTAGTTCATCTCTTGTTTTGAATATTTAATTTAATTATAATTTTATCCACCATAAAATTTAATTTTAAAGAGTAAAAGATTGATATGACATTTCACTTTTAGATCTTTATGTTGGTATAATCATTAGTGGTATTGGCTCTTACCAACCATTTTTTCCCTTTTCTCACACATTTATATTCTTAAATATTTTCTTAGTTATTGTTTAATGACTGGGTATTTTTTAATATACACGAAAAAATTATTAAAAAATATTATTTGAGTAGAAAAATAGTTCAAATATAAAATAAAAATATATTACCGTGGGGTTATTTTTTTTTTCTCAATTCAACTCTTTATGCTAGTCCATTTAATTATTAGGTTTTTATTTTTTTTTCATATTGGACATTATGTAGTGGTGATTGATTGCTAATACAAAGGATTCTTATGAAATTGATTTTATTAAACCTTCCTACATATTTTAATGAGAATTTAATAGATAAAATTTTATTAATTTAAAATCTTAAATATTAAAAATTAGCATAGAAGGTATTGTAGTCCAAAAAATGGGTTATAGCAGTTATGTCCTTTCCCTATGAGTTCTTTCGTTTAATATTTTAGGGCTATTTTGATATATTAATATTGTGTTTATGATTCTATAATAATATAGGCTCTCATTTTTCTAAATGGATTTGGACAACATAATACATTATCAAATTAAATTAGTAATAGGACATTATAATACGTTTTCAAATTAAATTAGTAATAGAATTTCTTAAGAAGTATATCCGAAAAATAATAGGATTACATGACTAAAGATATTTACTTGTTCAATTTTATATGAGTTAGACAGCCCGAGAATAATTATACTAATAGGATTACTAAAGGTAATCATGTAGGATTCCTAACGCGTAGTATTATATCCTAAACCTAATAGGATTATAAGGCTAATATCTAGAATTCCTGTTATGTCTTTTTATTATGAGTTATTTATGCTTAATATTATAAGGTTATTTTTGTAAACCGACATTGTATTCATGCTTTTATAATAATATAGATTAATAGTAAAGTTCCTCTTTATGGGGAGTTGTTTTATGATTTAATACTTTTTTATATAAATATGGTGCGAAAGTCAATAATAATAACAAATATGCAAATAGAAAGATCCAATAAATAAAATGTTGATCAAATATTATCATTTGAAAATAGAATTTTGATTAGATAAAATTATAATTAAAGTTAAATATTTAAAATTTGGAATAAACTCATAGTAAGAATTTGAGTCAACAAAATTTAAACTACCCTTTTTAGTGTTGAGAACACATGATTAATAAGCCTTTAAATTAAATATCTAGCAAAAGAATCATATCCGAAAATTTTCAATTTCGTTATACAAGTAAAAGAACTTTCAAGTTGACAAAATCTTTGAGTACATGAACTTTTTTATATAAGAAGAGAATTGACAGTGAATGAAATTAAGAAATATAGCAAAATCGGTCATAAATATAGCATTAAGAGTTAAATTGGTTAAAAAGAAAACTTGAATGAAGGAGGGTAAAATAATAACAGACAAAACATATCCTAAATGAGTTGTGATTGTTTATCTTTCTTTCATTTTTCATCATTCCAACGAATGGTTTTTATTATTTTTTAAATATTAATTTTTTTTTATTGTAGAATATTAACTCAATATTAGTCATATGTAGACTTTACACTATCACCTATGAATTTTTTTAGAATCTATAGTACTAACCCCTTCATTCACAGAACTTGTAGAAGACCAAAAGACTTAACTTCTTATTTGTGTCTTTTTTAAAAATATATAAAGAATCGTGATAAAAATATATAAAAATTATTCGATCATTGCAAATTCAATATTAAGTCGTAAAAATAAAATATAAAAAATTTCATAAGTATTTATATGAAGTCAATATTTTTTTTGGCCAGTAAGAAAACAATATTGTTTCCTATTGATATTTATAATTTTTAAAAAATTTATACTCCTTGATATGGGTATATGCGCAACGCGCGTATTCTAAAACTAGTAAAACTAAAACAAATAAAACAGAAAAAAGAGAAACAGCTAGGAACGGGATTCACATGGTATATATCTAAAGAAGAAATGAAAAAAAAATGCTAGTAGAATTATTGTCTTCATAGGGCTAGCGCCAAAAAACTGATTGAGAGACGTGGTCCAACAAAGAAACAAAACGGGACTACAAACCAATTGGCTCTTGCTCTTATTATAGTAGTTCCCTGCTCTGCTTCACAAAAAATATCTCAAATTCATATCTTTGATCAAGCTTCAATGGCTGCATTAAGTTCAGTTTCAGTAGCGCACGTATCATTTTCCATATCTAACCCTCAAATCCCAAGAAACTACAGACGTTTGCCTACTTTATTTGCATCAGCATCAGCTACACCTTCCCACGAATCATCTTCATCCACACAAAGTGGGAGTATATTATCCTCAACTAATTCTCCACCAAAAGTGCCCTTTGTTGAGTCCTCTGAAATCCCCGAAAATGGTTTCAACTTTGCTTTGGCTAATCCTAATGGAAACCCTGTTGTTAGACTTGTTCAGCACACTGAATCAACTATTGAGAGGGTACAAATTTGACTTCTTTTGCTCTTTCTTGATACTACTTATTATTTTTATTATTTCTTTGTTTATTTGCTATCTACTTCTTGAGGATTAGAGGATGTTGTGATTTTAAGCTCTTTTTTTTGGTTGTATGAAGAATTAATACGGAGGTTATAGAATTAATATGAGGTTTTAAGTCTCTATGCACAAAACATAGAATCACTACAAGATGGCTTGAACCGGATTCCAAGCATGTTAGTGTTAAGCAGCAGTTAATTCTTGAGAATTGGAGACGGATATGGTTTCTTCAATCTTTTGGGTGCTACCAAGAATTGACACTGAGTTCTAATATTGATATCTGCTCAATATGAATAAATTGATATATGCTGCACATATCTGTTGCTCACTGCTTACTTATTTTTGAGCAGGCAATATTTGACTTCCGTTTTCTGGCATTCCTTGCTATCGGAGGTTCATTGGCTGGTTCGCTGCTCTGCTTCCTCAATGTAATTTCTTTTTCAAGCAAACCTTATTTTTCAATGTGATGTATGAAAATATATTGTTATCATATATATACTATATGTGGTTATATTTTATATCTTAGTACCTTCACAGGGTGGGGGTAAGGTCTGCGTACGCACTACCCTCCCCAGACCCTACCTGTAGGATTACATTGGGTTTGTTGTTGTTGTTGTTATACTACTTCCGGGGGAAATTTATGACGGCAAGACTTGTGTTTAAGTCTGTACGAAGACAGAAACTTGATTACTTTATTGCACTAGCTATTTTTTAGACCATATATGATCTACAGACTTAGACCGGCAAGATGTTGGTTCATAGATCTTATATGATTTCACATGCTTTAGGGTGATTGGATATGTGAAACTTATTGCTTTGAGCAACTTCGGGAATTCTTATGGCCTATTGAGAATCAGACTAACATTAATCCATTGTAATTCTTGATAAGTTATCATACACTTGCATTGATACAAAACATAGTATCTACGGGAGTTTTCCTGCTGAAATCCTATACGTGCTCATTCTCTTGCATTTCAAATCTTAGTCTATCACTAGCTCATAATACCAATTCATCAAATAACAAGTTGCAGATACAATAAACTGTATCCTTCATCTGGTGTGCGACTCTATCTTAACCTCTACAGTATCAGTTAATTCTCTGTCTATAGTTTACTAGGTGCAATATAGTTATCCTCGGCCAGTTATTTGTTTAGGTACATTATATTATTTTAGGCAAAGTCTTTCTCTAGTGCGTTAAGGCATAAAATATTGATTTTGGTTCATGCACTTAATCCTTTTAATACATAGTATAATCATCACATAAGAGGTAATACCATTTTTACGGGTTCTATCAGTTGTTTTAGCAGTTAAATTCTCTTTTGTAGGGTTGTGTCTACATTATTGACGCTTACAAGGTTTATTGGACGAGCTGTGTCAAGGGAATTCACACAGGACAAATGGTTCTGCGATTGGTTGAAGCTATAGGTGAGTTTCTGCATGATCTAAAGATCATCATGCTTCTAATCAGAAATTGCAGAAGAGCACCTCAGAAAATTTCTGACTAAAATGTCATTTTGGGTGATATAATACCAACATCTAAATGTTTTAATATCTTCGTTTTGTGTTTCTGAGTTTATTATCCTTGTAATGCAGATGTTTATCTTGCTGGGACTGTGATGTTCATATTTGGGATGGGCTTGTACGGATTGTTTATCACTAATTCCTCTGCTAATGTTGATCCAACTTCTGACCGTGCCCTCAAGCACTCTTCCTTGTTTGGGATGTTTGCTCTGAAGGTAGTCGCACTCTGGATCTTCTTCACTTATATACCATATTTCTGTTTGCCAATCTTATACTTCCACTATACATTGTTGCTTTCTTAAGTGGATTCAACTATTCATTCCTGTTTGATTACTTGAGAATGGAAATTGTAGATGCCAAAAATGATGGTGATCTTTCAAAAGGAAAATTACTTTATTTAGAAGAGAGTTATCTAAGCTGGAATTGCATTCAGTTCACATGATCTAATATCGTGTATTTTTCGACCATAATGTGTTTACAAACAAGATTTTACTCTTAATATAGCAGCAATGCCCAGAGAAGCCTTGATTCTACAACAAAATAGTTTATCTGTACTTAGCTTCACATATCAATGAATCCCAGAGTTCTGATGGGATAGATGCCAATGAATCTCTTAGATCATTTTCCACTCTTATAGGCTCCTATAGTATAGCCAAATGAAACTTCTAAAGTTTCATTGTATCATCTAACCCTGCTAGCAGTCTGCTGAAGATTGTGGTACTCTCAGGACTACAATAAATTCTGAATATCTCCCAAAAGACTAAAATAAGACGGATGCATCTTGCATACATCAACCACGAAACATGTGCGCTTGTAGGTATAGAGTGTTCTCCTGTTTCAATCAGTTGATGTTGCCATGTAGGAGAGGCCAAAATGGATGAAGATCAGTTCGCTCGATGAACTAAAAACCAAAGTGGGACATGTAATTGTCATGATCCTTCTTGTCAAGATGTTCGAGAGGAGCAAGATGGTGACTATAGCCACTGGTACTGATCTGTTGAGCTACTCAGTGTGTATCTTCTTGTCTTCTGCTTCCTTGTATATTCTCCATAATCTGCACAAGGAGTAATACTTAACATGTACCGTACGATGATACATGTATAGCCAAGTAATCAATAATTTTAAGCTAGCATTAAATTTATTACAGAATGCTTCTCTCTTCCTCTAATATAGCTCGACAGTGTTCACTAAAAGTTATTCCAGCATCTAACATTTACCATAGATTAAAAAAAGAACAAAATAAACAGCTTCCTACATCCAACAAGAAGGAAGCATGTATAATACAGTATTGTTGCGACACTTTCCTCTACTGTGTCAACGAGGTATTGCCGTATTGGTATTCAAATACAGGGACCTTTTGATTAACCAGTGTGCTGAATAGCCTATTGCAAAAATTAGTTGGCAAAGAATAAGAAGGAAAACTTACATGGTAAACTATTGTAATTCACTGTCCACCCTCCAAGACAGGGAAAATCGCCCATATAAAGTTATTAACCTGTAATGAACATATTTTTTTTGGGCAACATTTTTCAATTAGACACCATTTTCTTCATTTGGCCAAAAGAATTCACGGTTACAAATTTGTATGCAACTACATTCCACATGGACGCGAGTTACAAAATTTACAGTTTATTGGAAAGCAAAAAGGAAGAATTGCGAAACTTATCAAAAGACTTTATAAATTGCGTCTGCCGGGAGTCGAACCCGGATCTATTGCTTGGAAGGCAATTATCCTAACCGTTGGACTACAAACGCTTATTGATGTCAAAGCATTTTGTTGTTAATTAATAATATGTACAGAATTGTCCACAAACCCAGAATGTAGGTTCAGTTGCCTTAAAAGTTCAGAAAAATATCATATGATTGAATGATGTATGCCATGTTGGTTAGACGTTGAGTTCACAACAAGGTATTGTATTAGACATAGGTGTCTATGTTAAGGAATTCTAAATGAGTAAATGTAGCACTAAAACAAAACACGATAAAGAGAAACAACTAGGAACGGTATTCACATGGTACATTATATATACCTGAGATGGGTTGATATTGTCTTTTTTTGAGAGATATAAGCGCCAAAGCCTCATTGAGAAACGTGGTCCAACAAAGAAATACAAACCAAGTGGCTTACTCTTACAACAACGCGCCAAAGCCTGATTGAGAAACGGGGTTCCAACTCTTCTTCACAAAAATATCTCAATTTTATTATCTCTGTGATCAGCTTCAATGGCTTCATTAAGTTCAGTTTCAGTAGCGCACGTATCATTTTCTATCTCTAACCTTCAAGTTCCAAGAAATTACAGACGTTTACCTACTTTCTTTGCATCATCATCAGCTACGCCTTCTCACGAATCATCTTCATCCACACAAAGTGGGAATGTATTATCCTCAACTAATTCTCCACCAAAAGTGCCCTTTGTTGAGTCTTCTAAAACCCCGGATAACGGGTTCAACTATGCTTTGGCAAATCCTAATGGAAACCCAGTTGTTAGATTTGTTCAGCACACTGAATCAACTATTGAAAGGGTACAAATTTGATCTTCTTGATAGTACTTATTACTAATATTTGTTTGTTTATTTGCTGTCTAATTCTCGATGATTAGAGGATGCTGTGGTTTTTAATTCTTTTTGGGTAGTCTAAAGAATTAATACAGAGTTATAGTATTATTATGAGGTTTTAAGTCTATTCGCTCAAAGACAGAATCAATACTAGTTTGCTTGAGTTGGTGACCGGGCTTTCGAAGCATATTAGTGTGTCAACCAGAAGCTCATTCTTGAGGTTTGGGCTTTGGAGAGTGATATGGTTTGTCTATCCTTTGGGGCGGTATCAGGAATTGGTACTGAGTTGAATTCTAATGTTGACATCTGTTTAATATGAGTGGAAAACTGATGTATGCTTCATATTATCTATTGCTCACTGCGTATCTGTATTTGGGCAGGCGATATTTGACTTCCGTTTTCTCGCACTCCTTGCTATCGGAGGTTCATTGTCTGGTTCTCTGCTCTGCTTCCTCAATGTAATTCCTTCTTCAAGCATTCCCTTATTTTTTTCAATGTGAAGTACGAAAATATATGGATATCATCTGCTATAGGTGTTTAAAGTTTATATCTTTGTGTTTCCTGGTTAAATTTATGACGGCAAGACTTCTTTTTAAGGCATGAACTTGATTACTTTAGTGCACTTGTTGTTTCTAGAAAATATGTAATCTATAAACTGACAAGATGTTGGTTCATAGATTTTATTTGGTCTTTACATGCTAAAGGGTGATTGGGTATGTGAAACTTCTTGATGAAATGGCTTGTTGAGAATCAGACTAACATTAATACTTGTAATTCTTGATCAGTTATCATACACTTGCATCGATAGAAAACATAGTATCTACAGGAGTCTGTTATTCCTAATCCATTTCCGAAGTCCTATTCGTGCTCATTTCTGCTGCATTTCAAAAATTTGTAGTCTTTCACTAGCTTATAGCACCAATATATCAAATAATGAAGTTGCAGATATAGTATACTCCCTCCGTTCCAATTTATGTGAACCTGTTTGACTGGGCACGGAGTTTAAGGAAAAAATGAAGACTTTTGGAATTTGTGGTCCTAAACAAGTCCAAATGGGGCCCAGAGTATTTGTGTGGTTATAAAAGCTTCTCATTAAGGGTATAGTTGTAAGTTTAAGCTAAATTGTTACCAAATTTAGAAAGGGTTCATTCTTTTAGGAACGGGCCAAAAAGGAAATAGGTTCACGTAAACTGGAACGGAGGGAGTACTGTTTATCCTTCATCTGTTGGGCAACTCTATCTTAACCTCTACAATCAGTTAACTCTCTGACTATAGTTTACTTAAGTGCAATATAGTTATCCTCGACCAATTATTTATTTAGGTATGTTCGTTAATAAAAGCCTTTCTCTAGTGTTTTAACGCATAAAACATTGGTTTTGGTTCATACGCTTAATCCTTGCTAATTTGCATCTTATTCTTCATTTTAATACATATAATCATCAGGAAAGGAGATAATGCCATTTTTACGCGTTCTGTGAGTTGTTTATACAGTTAAATTCCCTTTTGTAGGGTTGTGTCTACATCTTTGATGCTTACAAAGTTTATTGGAGCAGCTGTGTCAAAGGAATTCACACAGGACAAATGGTTCTGCGATTGGTTGAAGCTATAGGTGAGTTTCTGAATGATCTTGATTTTTTAATGATCATGCTGCTTGTAATCAGAAAATAGTAGAAGAGCACCTCAGTGAGGGAAGACATTCAATGAATGCATTTCAATGGATCTTTAATGACCTCTCTTTTGATGACCACCGTCCACTGGTCCTTTGAAATTATTTGGGCAAAATCCCAGTACATATGCTATCCCATTCTATCCTGCCTTAATAGTTTTCCTTTTCATTAGAGTTATTTGCTGCTATTTTATTTATATTATTCTCACTATCTTGATAGGAGCAAACCTGTTGTTGTATGTGAAAGAAAGAAAAGTCAAAGAGAGAAGAAAAATGATAGGTGGAAGAATTCATCTTTGAATTCTTTTCTTATGACGTAAGCGCTTACGTTGGCAGGTTGAATTATTTTCTTATGACGTAAGTGCTTACGTCGGCAGGGCATTCAAATGCCTATAAAAGAGGCCTGCATTTTCATTTGCAGATCATCCCTCAACTTCTTCTTTTTCTTCAATTAATAAAGAGCTATTCTTTGTGTGGCCATGGAGTAGGCAAAAATTGCTGAACCACGTAAATCTTGTCTTGTCTTGTCTTGTGCAATTTATTGCTTTTCTCTTTTAAATAATTTTTCCTTCTATCAACCTCACACGCTTCCCAACAACTGGTATAAGAGCACACACAGTGTAATTCTGGTGGAAAAGTACGTATTAGTGCATGTACTATTCACAAGAATAGTGCGACACTATTGATCATCATTGCGAATACTATTCATTAATAGTAATAGTACATTCACCAATAGTGATTGTTGTCTACCTTATACGGTTGGGATATTTTTTCTTACACGAAATAGTATTCGTCGTTACTATTCACACGTATTATTCATATAATTTTTTTTTTTTTTTGTGAAAAATTGCTTCGGAAGAAGGGAAGCTTAAGATTGACAAGTTCAATGGCAAAGATTTTGGATTCTGGAAAATGCAAATAGAGGATTACTTGTACCAGAAAAAATTATACTTACCTCTGATCGAGGTAAAACCAGAGAATATGGCCAAAGCTGATTTGGATCTATTAGATCGCCAAGCTCTTGGAGTGATTCGTTTGACGCTAACACGAAATGCAACGTTTAACATTATTAATGAGAAGACCACCGAGAAGACCACTGCAGGCCTGATGAAAGCATTATTAAATATGTACGAGAAGCCATCTGCTTCAAATAAAGTCTATTTGATGCGTCGATTATTCAGCTTAAAGATGACAGAAGGTGGATCTGTCACGGAACAATCAATGAGTTTAATATAATATTAACTCAATCGAGTTTTGTTAATATAACATTCGATGACGAAGTCAGGGCATTGATTCTACTATCATCTGTACCGGAGAGTTGGTCTGCAACGGTAACTATAGTTAGCAGTTCATCGGGAAGTACCAAACTTAAATTGAATGATAGAGACTTGGTTCTAAGCGAAGATATTCGCCGAAGAGAATCAAGTGATTCCCTGTGATCTCCATTTAATACCGAAAGCAAGGGGATAAGCAATCAAAGAGGACAAAGTCATGGTCGTGGCAAATCAAAGTCAAGGAGAAGAGGGAAATCCAAAAATCACAAGGACATTACTTGTTGGAATTGCGATAAAAAGGGTCACTACAGTAGTCAATGCAAAGAACCAAAGAAGAAGAAGGAAGAAAATTCAGCAAATGTGATTGCTGAACAAGTCAGTGATGCACTAATTTGTTGTGCAGACAATCCAGTCGAATCTTGGATTCTGGACTCAGGTGCATCCTTTCACTCTACAGCATGTAAAGAATTATTGCATATTATATTGCTGGAAAATTCGGGAAAGTTTATCTAGCAGACGGGGAGCCTCTGGACATTGTCGGGAAAGGTGAAGTTCATATAAAGACTTCACAAGGCACGCTATGGAAATTGCAAAATGTCCGACATGTTCCTGGCCTCAAGAAAAATCTGATATCTATGGGTCAGATTGACACTGAATGATATACAACAACATTCGGTAACGGATCATGGAAGATAACCAAAGGAAATTTGGTTGTGGCATGAGGCTTCAAGAAGGGAACACTGTATGCAACTGCAATACAGAGAGATACTATAGCAACAGTTGATCATGGTCGTGATACAACATTGTGGCACCGGAAGCTCGGGCATATGAGTGAGAAAGGAATGAAGTTGTTGGCATCCAAGAAAAGTTGTCAAACCTAAAACATGTTGAATTAGGTTTGTGCGAAGATTGCATTTACGGGAAACAAAAGAGAGTTAGTTTCTCAAAGGCGGGAAGGACGCCAAAGAAAGAGAAGTTGGAACTAGTGCATACAGATGTGTGGGGACCAGCTTCTGTAACTTCTCGGGGAGGCCCACGCTATTATGTCACCTTCATTGATGATTCCACAAGAAAGGTATGGGTCTATTTTCTCAAAAATACATCCGATGTGTTTGTTACCTTTAAAAGATGGAAAGCTGAAGTTGAAAATTAGATAAGTCTAAAGTTAAAATGTCTGAAGTCTGACAATGGAGGAGAGTATGATAGTCAAGAGTTTAAAGCATTTTGCTCTAAGAATGAGATCAGAATGATCAAGATAGTTCATGGAATACCAGAACAAAATGGCGTTGCTGAGAGGATGAACAGAACCCTGAATGAACGAGCCAGAAGTATGAGAATACATTCTGGATTGCCGAAGTATTTTGGGCCGAGGCTGTTAACACGGCAGCTTACCTCATAAACAGGGGACCCTCTGTACCGCTGAATTTTGAAATTCCTGAGGAGGTATGGACAGGAAAGGAGGTAACTCTCTCACATCTGAAATTTTTTGGTTGTGTTGCTTATGTGCATGTAAACTCTAATGATAGAGATAAGCTTGATCCTAAAGCCAAGATAAGTTTCTTTAATGGCTATGGTGATGATAATTTTGGTTTTCGATTTTGGGATGATCAGAATAGAAAAATCCTAAGGCACAGGAATGTCACATTTAATGAAAATGTGATGTACAAGGACAAGTTTGAAGTAGAACCAACCAGCACCAGCAAACATACATCTGAAACAGTTGAGTTAGAAGAAATCTCAGAAAATGAAGTGGCTAAAGGGTTTACAACTGATTCTGAAATTGAAGATGAAGAACCAGAAACCGAATTTGGATCAGAACCAGAACCGGAACTAGAGATAGAATCAAATGCAGAACCAAATCTGGAGTCAGGACTTGAATCAAATTCGGGATCAGTTACCCTTGAACCTACATTAAGGAGATCTAAAAGAGTCACGAATGCTCCAGATAGGTTAACTCTCTCTCTCTTCACTATTTACTTCTGACTGATGCTGGTGAGCCAGAGTATTTTGTTGAAGCAATACAGGTGATAGACTCTGATAAGTGGAAGCTAGCCATGAAAGAAGAGATGAATTCTCTTCAAAAGAATAAAACATGGATACTCACAGAGTTTACCAAAAGGAAAGAAGGCATTGCAGAACAAGTGGGTGTACAGAGTCAAGGAAGAGCATGATGGTAAGAAGAGATACAAAGCACGATTAGTAGTAAAAGGCTTTCAACAGAAGGAAGGAATTGACTACACCGAGATCTTCTCTCCTGTAGTCAAATTAACTACTATCAGGTTAGTGCTAAGTATCGTAGCTGCTGAAAATTTATATTTGGAGCAGCTAGATGTTAAAATTGCTTTCTTGCATGGTGACCTTGAAGAAGACATCTACATGAAGCAACCTGAAGGTTTTCAAGTTTCTGGTAAAGAAAACCTTGCGTATAAGTTGAAGAATAGTTTGTATGATTTGAAACAAGCTTCCCGATAATGGTACAAGAAATTTGATGGATTCATACATAACAATGGTTTCACACGATGTGAGATGGACCATTGTTGTTATATCAATATTTTTGATGAATCCTATATCATTTTACTGTTGTACGTTGATGATATGCCAATTGCAAGATCTAACATAAATGAGATCAACATGGTTAAGCAACAACCGGCGGAGGAGTTTGAAATGAAAGACTTAGAAACAGCCAAGCAAATGCTTGGGATGAGGATTAACAGAAACAGGTGTGAAGGAACCTTAAAATTGTCTCAAGAAAAGTACATACAAAAGGTACTAAGAAGGTTCAGTCTTCATGATGCAAAGACCAGAAGCACTCCACTCGGAAGCCATCTTAATCTATGGAAGGACCAATCACCTAAGACAAATGAAGAAAGGAAGTACATGTCCAAAGTTCCATATGCTTTAGCAGTAGGAAGTTTGATGTATGATATGGTTTGCACTAGACCTGACATAACCCATGCAGTTGGAGTTGTCAGTAGATACATGTTAGATCCAGGAAAGGAGCATTGGGAAGGAGTAAAATGGATATTGTGATATCTCAAAGGCACCTCAGGTATGACACTTCGTTTTAAAAAGAACAATATTATCTTACAAGGTTTTGCTGATGCAAATTTAGACGGCGATCTGGATAGTCGAAAAAGTACCACATGCTACGTGTTCACCTTCGGTGGTACTGTTGTTAGCTGGATGTCCAGACTTCAGAAAAGTGTTGCTCTATCTACCACTGAAGCAGAGTACATGGTAATCTCAGAAGCTGGAAAAGAGATGATTTGGCTCAAGAATTTTCTTAAAGAGCTAGGTAAAGAGCAGGACAATTGTGAGCTTTTCAGCGTTAGCTAGAATGCAATTCATCTTGCCAAGAATCCAATATTTCATGCAAGATCAAAGTACATATCCAATTGAGGTATCATCATATCCGAGAGTTGATAAGTGAAGTAACTCTTTCCCTGCAGAAAATACCAGGATCAAAGAACCCGTCAGACATGTTGACCAAAGTTGTTGGTATTGACAAACTGAGCCTGTGCACTGCCTCAGTTAGCCTTCAAGACTGACAGCGTGAAAGCTCCATCAGAGAATAGCAAATCCTTTTTTTTAATTTTCTTTCTTGATGTGACATAGGTTTGAGGGGGAGATTGATAGGAGCAAACCTATTATTGTATGTGAAAGAAAGAAAAGTAGACAAAACAAAAGAAAGAAAAGTCAAAGAGAGAAGAAAAATGATAGGCAGAAGAATTCATCTTTGAATT